TAATGAATGTGTTAATAATATAGAAATTTTTGTAAGCCCTTGATAAAGTAGATAAGCCATCTTTTATGATAATAATCATGATGTAAAATGTAGAGATTTGTTGAAGAGTTAAGTCTTTTTGAAATTTCAAGAAAGAAGAATATGTAGTCCTATTATTATTTTTAATAAGTGAACTAATGTATTCTAATTCTTTTTCTAAATCTGAAATAATTCTTCTATATTCTTTTAAATTTGTTCTTTCTTTGGATAAGTCCATATTGTCAGAGTTATTCGTAAAGAAGTATTTATGAAAAATATTTTTAATTTGTCTCATAACCATCATCATCGAAATTTATATCATTGTCTGAATTTATTTGTGTATTACCAAAGTTTCTAAAATTTATAATACATCTATGGTCAATTTTTTGGTGATTTCTCATTCTATAATGAACCTGAAAATGATTTCCATAAAAATGTCCTTCAAAACTATCTATGTAATGAGAATTAGAGGTAAATGTATTTAATTCATTAATTAGGCATCTTAATTCATGTTCTTCCATATTTTTTTTCTAATGTTGTCCGTAAATCTTCTAAAATTATTTTTTCTTGAAAATGAGAAAATTTTAATTTTTCCAATATAATCTTAATTAAATCCGGATAAGGAAATCTTTGGAGTAAATAAGTTATCTTTGTATCAAAATTTTGGATAAAAATTAAATCTGATAATTTTTTGTCTGAATTAGGTTATGAATAACCAATTCCAAAATAATTTGAAAAATACCTCTTACTTATAAATTTTGAATTTTCTTTGTTTGGGTCCATATTAAAATTATTTAAAAAAATATTTTTTGAAAAAATTTGATTTTAAATCTTATTCCTCCTTCCTATTGCTAGTTCCTTCGAGTATTATGATTTGTTAGTTTCTTTATCTTAATAATTTTAGCTTATTTTTATAATTATTGAATAGTCCATATTTAAGCTAGAACCTCTCATTTTCATCCCTCATTTACTACCACGGAGTTCTTCCAGAGACTTCTTTGTGTTTATGATCTAAGAATCTCCTCCTAGCGAAACGATTTTCCCTCTTGGTACTTACTTCCCTAACGAATTCTTTCTTAGATTAATGATCACATTCAGTTCAAGCAGAATTTACGTCTTTTGATTGTGGGTTAAACATAGATTAACAATAATCATAAACATAAACATAAATTATTAATATTAAGCTACTAAAAAACCATACCTCTTAGAAGCAATAAGGAAGTCGAAATAAGGAATTTAGTGTGAAAGTGGAAATTTATAGTAAGGTGTATTGAAAAGCATTTTTATTGATAGTATATTTTGATTGTGTATTTACAAACTTGATGAGAACTTCCTTTTATAGGTGAAGGGGAAGTCTCTAGAGAGAATACATGATTACCTTTACATTACGAAAGGATAACACACTATTTGCTATCCCTATCTAAAGCACTAAAAACAACAAATTTTACCTAACTTTTACCTAACAATAATATACATGATAAAAAGTTGAAAGGGACAGACCCCCTTTTATAGCCGTGTGTGTCAGGATTACCCTTTCATATCTTAGAAGGGTCAAGTAACTATTCCTTTAATTCTTATAATTCTTGTGATAATATGAAAATTTATAAAATTCAAGTAACTATTGCTTTAATTATATATATATATATATATATATATATATATATATATATATATATATATATATATATATATATATATATATATATATATATATATATATATATATATATATATATATATATATATATATATATATATATATATATATATATATATATATATATATATATATATATATATATATATATTCAATTATTCTATATATAAATAATTTTGAAAATAATTAAAAAAATTATTTTCAGTTTATAAATCAAATATCACAAAACAAATATATACACAAATATATCTACTCTATCAACATATTATATAAAAAAAAACAAAAAAATTCTTAATAAGAACCTGAAATTGATGAACAAAATTTCTTGAAGTTTTCTCCAAAATTTAGCTCCCTTTAGATATGTCAATTAGTACCGGAAAAACAAAAATTATATTACACTAACATTGAAAATAAATTAAACACATAACAAAATAATTTAACATATTTACTTGAAAATTATTTGTGTGAAGGTTGTGATTGAAACTTTAGGTTTTATTTAGGGGAAATAATACAATGATGAGAAGCGGAAATTGAAATTGTAATTGAGGGACGAGAAGAAGAAACAATGTTATGAAACGCTTAAAATTAAAACACGGAACATATAGTTTAAGCAGTGTAATGGGTGTTGAGTTTAGCAAGGGGTAGCCCAACGGAAAGGAAACGGTCAAAGCACACGTGGGGTAGCCCGTTGCTATTTCATGCATTAGAAAAAGTCCCCTGCACGCGCAGTCTGCTCACTACCATGACTAGACTAAAGTTGTCTAGTTGGTGTGGGGTAGACCCTCGCTATTGTCATGTTGGCATTTAGCTTGGGATTTCTCGTCACAAATTGCAGTGGTTTGCACTATTTTATTTTTCCATGAGGGTGCTCCTCGCAATGTAATATTTTAAAATTCAAAATTTCCCTCTTTTAATTTTGCAAGGGGTAATCCCACGCAATTTATTTTGTATTTTTTTTCCTAATCTGCACGTTGCAATGGGCTTTACCCCAAGCAACATTATTTTTTCTTAGGGGTTTAACCCCTGGCTAAATCCCTTGGCAAATTTTAGTCTTTCTTGTAGTGTACGATGGAAGTGAAAAATGATCCATCCCTAAAAAAGAATAAGAGATATGTAAGAAAAAATTATTAATATCAAATTAAATGTAATAGTTGGAATAGAAGGTACCGTGAACAGTGTGCAAGAGTTTGCCAACCGCCTCATCCTCCATTTAAAAGCTTCATTCAACTTTTGGTACTAGTATACCAAACAACCAACTCCCAAGTTCCACTCTCCAACTGTATCCAAATCCATGAAGTACTGGAGATATGTCACATCTACGTAGGTTGCACTTTTTCCCACAAAAACTGACGTGTTAACCAAGAATAAAAAAGTAACACCGCAAAGCACACTCGCGGTGGTATTGAACAAAGAACTCATTGCCCTATTCTCGAAAGTTGCGGCTGCATCAAGGTGCTCGTCATATAGTTCGCCCATGAATGAGAACTTGACATGAGCCCCATTAGTTGAGTCATACTGTTCAAATGCCTTTTCAGTTGAGCTCCTAAATACTCTACCATCCACTCAATCGCCTGAGCACGAGTAATCTGGGAGTGGTTAAGTAACCTCCCTCTCATAGAAAGGTGTAGCAGACATACAACGTCGTCAAGTGTGATCGTCATCTCCCCAATAGGAAAATGAAAAGATGATGTCTCCTTGTGCCATCTCTCGGTAAATGTCGCTTGCATGCCATAACTAATAGTACCGTAACCGAAATAATGAAGTCCGACAAGTCCGAAGTCAATAAAGGCCTCCTTGAACTAATCCTCATTAGTATGATATATGTCAAATATTTTTCGCGCGTGGTTCACGAACTTTATGGGCAGGCGTTCCTGTTAAAAACATATTAAAGTTAATGTTAGTCGTTAAGATATTTATGCGTAAATCATTTAAATGAAAAGTGTAATAAAATATATACCTCTCCATTCCAAACACGTGGAGCGACATGATCAGTATAATATATAAATAAGGAGGTGTCAGAGGGTCCTCCTGGACGTCCTGGGTTTTGCTGCCCCACTGTTGCACGTAGCCGTGCAACCGATGTATCAACCTTGTCAGGCTCTTGTGCCGGAACATCAACCTCCTCGGATACCTACTCATTATTTCGAGATGAGGATGCATGAGACATGCGACTCCTCGGAGCTAAAGTGAACCCTCCGGCCACTTCCTCCCGCGGTATCCAACCTCGTCCTCGATTCCTAGTAGCCTGCTAAACTCACTAATGCCGAGCAGAGGCAGTCTGACTTGGTCTACCAAGTCTCAATCTAGCGTTCGGGTTCTCAGCCATTTTTCTGAAAAAAATAACTATTACTTAAGGAAGGAACAAGTTTGAACAAATTTGAAAAACTAAAAAAAAAAAAAAACCCAGGCTTAATTTCGGATGTGCATATCCGAAACCACTCAGATGGGTTTTCAGATATGCATATCCGAAACAACATGCGACAACCATTTTCAAACAACTGAAGTTTCTTGCCTTTTAACCACCCAAAAACTTCCCTTTACACCTAAACAATCACATTTCACAAGTTATACTTCAACCGACTCAATTTACATTATACTAAATAATATATTTTACATTTGTAAAGTAGAACAATGGATTCGGAAAAAATTACTCAAATTTGAAGCTGTGAAGTGTTGTTGAAATGAGTTGAAAACGTGCTCTGCTTCTTAAAGATGTAGTTTGTTCTTAAAATGAGTTGGAAGTGTTGTTCAAAGTTTGTAAAAAAAAGAGAGTTGAAATAGAGAGAGTTTGAATAAAGAGAGTTGAAATATAGATATAAATGAGAAAGATATATTCTATTTTGAAGTTTTGTCTATATTAATACAATTCAGACATGCATATCCGAAATTTCTCTATACTTAAATTAAAAGATTTATTCAGATATGCATATTTCAAAACACTTTAAAAGTGGAATATTGAGTTATTTTGAAGAATTTTATGTCTTGCAAACCTTATTTACTAGACATAAAGTGCATAAAGAAAGGTGCATTAAGAAAACCCCTTATTTATTTACTAGTTTACCAACAATAATGATAGGATCAATACCCGTTGGCGTCGCACATGCGTCTTTTTTCCATTCCCTCTTTTCCCCAACAAAAGACGACAAAATAATACTCAGACCCCAACCCCCCCGTGGCACATACCAAATGCGTAGATTCCTCACATCATTTTCCTCCCCGTCTTCTCAAACTCCTCAGCAACAAAATGATCCTCCTTGCTCCCTCCTGAAACCCAAGAAACAAAACCACCATTCCCAAACCAAACTCCGAGCCAAATCCCAACCTAATGGCTCACCGTCATCTTATCGACTCCCTCACCTCCCACATCTCCCTCTACCATTCCCAATCCCCAAACCCTAACCCTAACCCTAACCCTAACCCTAGATCTTCCATTCTCAAATGGTTCTCTTCTCTCTCAATCCACCAGCGTCTCTCTCATCTCACAATTCTCCATTCCGGTTTCGTTCAGATCATACTCCAAATGATGTCCAAACTCCATTCCAATAACAACCACGGTTGCTTCATTCTCCTGCCGGATCTCGCCTCCCGCGATCCGCCTTTTCTCCCTACTCTCTGCTTCAAGAAATCGCATGGCCTCCTCGCGCGAATGGCTGATTCCGACACCGCCACGAAATTGATATTCGATAGCGTGCGCCTCTTCGAGTCACGTGAAGGGGAGGATGATGTCGCCGGATGTTCTTGCTCGGTAAGGAATCTCGACGCAGTGACGTTTTCCGTTGAGCTTGTGGAGGACGTGGAGAGATTTGTGGAGGCTATGGATAGGATCTCCGGGGGAGGGTTTCTTAGAGGGGAGGAAGGTGAGATTGGGGAGGATTGGATGGAGTTGAATTGGTTGAAATCTAAGGGGTACTATGGGATTGAGGCTTTTATTGCGAATAGGATTGAGGTTTCTATGAGGTTGGCTTGGTTGAATAGCTGCGGTGGGAAGAAGAGAGGTGTGAAATTGAAGGAGAAGTTGAATGTGGCTGGGGTTGCTGCTAATGTATATTGGAGGAAAAAAGGTTGTGTGGATTGGTGGGGGAATTTGGATTCTGTGACGAGGAAGAAGGTGTTTGACACTATCATTATGAAATCTGCTAAAACTTTGGTATGCTTTAAATTTTTGGGTATTCTTGCAAACTTCTGATTTGTAGTTATATAAGATAGGTAGACATTCTTACAAACAATTACATCAACAGTATAGATGAATTGAATCCAAATGAAGTGTTAATTTAAGAGTGACATTGCTGGGATAGTAAGGGGATATTGATTTTGGATGTTGATGGATGATTTATAGTGTAAAAGTTGATGTCCAGTTGAATAGCTTAATATGATACTATCATTATGTTGTCGCGTTAGAGATATTGTGGACGCGTTATAACTTGCTTATAAGTATTAACTTTAGTGGAATTACCAGAGTAATCATTCTGGTATAGCGCCGTGGAGCAGCCGGCCCCAAAAATGGGATATCGGGATAGAGTATAGTGGGATGACAACTCCGTTTGACATTTTTGGACAAATTGCATATAATAATTATGAACATATATTTAATGTAAAATTAAACAAATAACTCAACTCATAAAGTATTCATAAATCAAAGCACACACGACTCTTAAATACATAAAAGACTATGAAGGAAGGTTAAGGTTGAGTCTCAACTCAAATTTGATTGAAAAATCCAAAATTACCCTTAAAACAATGTAAATATAAGTGTTAATTTCTGTTTCTTAAAGGGGAAAAGGATAGCGGGCCAAAAACCGCTCCGGGCTGAGAACCGCTCTACTCTGCTATCCCACTATTTACCTTCTATAGGCCGCTATAGTGTTCTGCACCTCCAGGGCTCTTCCCATAGCGGTTGGCCTCCGCTCCGCTATAGCGGGATAGTGCCGCTATTGACTACTCTGGGATTTACTATATCTGTACATTGTCAAAATTTTGCTACCTGGCATAGGTGTGTGCAAGGAAGTCCAAACCCTAATCGCGTGCTACATTTTTAATGATGCTTCATTTTTTGTTTAATTTTATATTAAATAAGAAGTGAAACATCATTAAAAATGCACTACACGATTATGCATTTTTTGACAATTACATCTGAAAGTACTTATAGTTTTATTCAAGAGTTATCAATCCCGGATAGCGGAGCGGAACGGCCGACCTCAAAAATGGGATAGCGGGATAACCGCTATTTGACTATTTTTTAGATTAACTATATGAACAATCTATTAAACATATATTTAATGTAAAACCAAACAAAGAAGAGGAATAGAGTTATTAAATGACTATTACTTAAAGAAACCGGCGGTAATGAAAAACAAATATAAAATCAAACCAGATTTATTTATTTTAAGGGTAAATCTGGGTTTTGGCGTTCAAAACAGTTCAAATCTGCTCGAGCTGGGAAGTGCCCTGCTCCCGCTACCTGCTAAACATCAAATAGCGGCCGCTAAACATCAAATAGCGGAGGGTCACCGCTCCGGGCTGATATCCCGGGATAGCGCCGATAGCGGCCGCTATCGATACTAGATTCTCTTAGTACTTTTTAATGGGTTTTTTGCATTGTAAAGGATAGGAAGTGAGTTTTAAAACTGACATATTCTGCACTAAACTCCGTTATTTGAACACATGGTTCTGAGAAAGCAATCATCTTTCCTTTCCCTTTGTTAAGCTTAAATGACGCACGGTGTAAAGATACTGATCATCTTTTGTTGGCAGCATTAATGTCTATTATGAAATAGATTTTAAATTTAACTGAATTGTCACTTTTTGCTAAATTGAAGTAGAACTTTTGGGGGTGGGGGAATGAGGGTGAAGAAGTGCGCTAGTCAATGATTATTATCTCTATTTTTGAAATAGGACATGTTTCAAACAATGGCTACATATTGTGGTACCTTGATTTGGCCGATAGCTTAATATGATTAAAGATAGATCATAGGGTTAATGGATGGTATTGTGCATAGATTCAAAAATAATATACTATTTCTTATTAAAGACTTGGGATTGTCTTGTAGAATTTTATACTCCTTCTATCCTACAATGAGTGATCATTTGTAAACAAAAATTGTCCCAAAGTGAACTAGCCCTTTCAATTTTCAATGTAATATTAATGAGAAAAATATATAACGATTCATACATGTTTGTAATTAAGAGTAATCTGAAAAATGTATATATTATCAAGAATAGTAAAAAATTGCATTTGTTGTAGAGTAATCAGAAAAATATAGAAATATTATAACGAGATTCATACATGTTTGTAATAAAGAGGATATTCAGGAGAGAGAATACAATGTTATAGAAGGCTCAGAAACTTCCATTTTCTAGTTTATCAAAAAGGAAATGGTTACATTTTCCAAGATCAATAAACTATTCGCTAAGTGTTGTATTTGACGTTTCAAATCAGCTAGCTGCGCATTGAGTAAAACTTGGTTCTACCAATTTTGTGAGTTCACAATACAAGGGGGAAAATGGTTCCATAAATTGTCGGACTATTATATTTTTGGCGCCAGCTCTTAGTAATAGACTGACTTTTGATCCATAAGTTTTCAGACGTATGAGGTTTTAAAAGTGGCAAGCAGTGCCTCCAAAGATGAAGTTTGGCTATACAGTAGTGGGACGGGAGTTGATAAACTACTTGGCTATAATTGCGCTGCAACTGCTCAAAGGACCATCCGGACATTTTGCGATGATACAGAATTTGGCAGAATTATTACACCAGTCAGCAGTTGTAAAAAGCCTGCAGCTTTAGCCAGAGCCTTTAATTCCTTATCTGTGCTTCAAGACATTAGCATAATGTTAACATCAAGTATTAATAGTGAATATGATATAGGAACTCTTTTCTTTAGTTCGTTGGGTTCTGTCTCTACAATATCTGATTGTATATTAAGAAAATTGAGAGGTTTTCTGATGGTTATTTCACTTGACTGCACAAAACGTGAGCTACTAGAGGAGGAACATGGCAAATCCTCATCGGGTAAACCTAAGGAAAAGGTCGGTCTTTCTAACCGTAAAAAGAAGGGACGGACCCGCAATAAAAAGCAAAATCCTGCCCCAAAAACATCTGTGAGTGGTATTTCATGCGAAAATCATCATAAGGTATTAAATAGTCTTTCATTTAACAGATAACTGGAATAAGTTTATTGCATAAATGCTAGAATTTACAATTCTGGTTTATTCCATATGTTATTACAGGACATTGATTGTGTAATGGACAGTACAAAGATGATTGATTTAACGAAACCTGGGGAACTTCCTCTGGGAAAGGGTACTTCTAAGGGGAGCTCGTCATCAACTGTAAAAGTTGTAGTAAGTCATTTTTTTAAAACCTGGATCATATTTCTTGCTAAAAATTTAATTGGTTTATAATAAGCCACTTGTCATCAGGATATTACTCGGGAATCAAATATTGGCAAACCTCGAACTACTCCGAGAAGAAGTAGGAAAGAGAAAAATAAAAATAAAAGCGCCCTTATTGACAATGCAGTTGAAGATTCTCTCAACTCAATTATGCATGCTGCCTCTGCCACTATTATTTCTAAAGGTGAGGTGGCAATATGCGATAGGTCTTTTGATAGTTCTACCATTCAGAATGTCAAACATGACGATTCAATTGGTAATAACACCCTTGCTTCAAATTCAAGCATTAGTTGTTCTCTAAATAGACTTACTAAGGAGAACACCTCTACTGGGAACGTTGAAGGAGAGACTGTTGACAATCTTGCTGAAAGTTGCAATAGTTCAAGTTCTCAGTGTTCATTGCCAAATGAAAGGAAATTATTGTCTTCTGAATTAAATACTTGCGACGTAGAATGTGAAGCTACAACACCGCCTGTACCTGCATTGGAGCATGGTAGTTTCTCCAGCAATGACAATACCTGTTCTTTGAACACAACAGGTGCTGCCAAAGCTGATGTAAAGTCAATTATTCATGACAAACCGATTCGAGAGGTTAATGTAAAAGAATTTAGCAAGTTAAGAGAGAGAGATAGATGTCTATTTGATAGTAGAAACTCTGCTTTCTCAAAATGCAGTCCATATGAATGGCCTGGTATACCTTCTATCTATTTTCCATCTTTTAACTCACATCTCCCACCTGCGACAGACAGATTGCATCTGGATGTTGGGCGTAATTGGCATAATCACTTCTGCCAACCATTTGTTCCCACATTACAGCAAACAAGAAATACACAAACTGAAGGTGGGTGCAACCAAATCCTGTCTCGTTCAATTCCTATGAGTTTTGACTGGCCACCAGTTTTTCGTGGTGGTGTGACCCCATCACCAAATTGTAATTATGACTCCGGTTTCATATCTAGGCAACAATGTAAAATTTCAAAAGGTTTGTCTGTTCACAGCATGCATGTTGATGCAACAACTCCTGATGATGAAAGAAAGTACTCTGGGGATACATTGGATTTACCTGATCTAGTAACTACACAGGAGTTCACAGATGAATTTGACAACCTCTGTGTATCAGAGGAAGAGTATGATTTTCATGCTGTTTCTGGTATAGATTATAATCAATATTTTGGCGGTGGTGTAATGTACTGGAACCCTTCTGAACATTCAGGAAAAGGTTTTTCTCGGCCTCCCTCTCTCAGCTCTGATGACAGTTTATGGGCTTTGCGTGAAGCTGATATGAATAGGACAGTGGATGATATGGTTGCTTTCTCATCTTCATATAGTACAAATGGTTTAACATCACCAACTGCTGCGACATTTTGCTCTCCCTTTGATCCTGTAGGTACTGGGGCCCAGACTGTTGGTTATGTAATGTCAGGTAATGAAATTCCTGGGAAAGTGATGCATTCTTCATCAGTTACAGATGCAGCAGTGGAAGATGATACTTCTGGTTCTTTGAGTAGTAACTTATCTGGAGAAACTGAAGGGAAGACGGGTGATTCACATCCGTATCCCATTCTACGGCCAATAATTATTCCTAACTTTTCAAGGGAAAGGTCTATATGTATTGATCATAAAAGCCCTTGTGTTCCTCCTACCAGGCGGGAGCAGCCTCGCATAAAGCGGCCACCATCACCTGTGGTGCTTTGTGTACCGCGTGCCCCACGTCCTCCCCCACCCTCCCCTGTGAGTGATTCCAGGAAACAAAGGGGTTTTCCAACTGTTAGATCTGGTAGTTCCAGCCCAAGACACTGGGGAATGAGAGGCTGGTATCATGATGGGAGTAATTTAGAGGATGCTTGTTTAAGAATGGATGGTGCTGAAGTTGTGTGGCCTTCCTGGAGAAGTAAAAACCTTGCAGTGCAACCTCTAATCCAACCTTTACCTGCTGCCTTGCTGCAGGACCGCCTGATTGCAATGTCACAGATAGCACGTGACCAGGAACATGTAAGAAAGATTGTTGCTTAAGTCACTACTAGATACATATGCGTTGGTGTTCATTGTGGGTGTTTAATTATACAGCCGGATGTCACTATTCCTCTGCAACCTGCCGAGTTACGAAGCTGTTCTGCAACGGGTGCATCTTTATCTTTGATGCATGGAATGCTCCATGATGAGATTGACTCTTTCTGTAAACAGGTATATAGTATAATTTCTGTACATTTGAACTAGCACACTTCTCACATAATCTTTTGCAAACCAGTGGAAAACACTATGTTTCGTTGTAACTTATTCCTGAATGATCCTGACTTTGGATTTTGTACATATCTTTATCCTTATTGTCACCATTGTTTCCTTATTTGAATTTTTTTCCTATTAGAGTTATTATTGAAAATATAGACGGCTTTGTCTTTCTTAATACTGTCACTGGAAAACCAAACATTCTAATGTAACTTATAATTATAATTATATGATGGAATCCAAGGTTGCCTCAGAAAACATGGCAAGGAGGCCTTACATTAATTGGGCTGTCAAGAGAGTTACCCGATCTCTGCAGGTTCTGTGGCCCAGATCCAGGACAAACATATTTGGTTCCAATGCCACTGGTATGGCTCTTCCAACAAGTGATGTTGACCTTGTGGTTTGTCTCCCTCCAGTGAGGAACCTGGTAAATTTTGTTTCGTTTCTTGTGTTTCTTGGTAGACCATTGCCTTATTGGATTAACCTTTTGTTTCTTTTAAATTCTGATAAAATGTTCAGGAACCTATTAAAGAAGCCGGAATATTGGAAGGTCGTAATGGTATTAAAGAAACATGTCTTCAGGTATATTGACAATAAGTACCTACACTCTGTACTCCCAATGTAGCTGTATTGGGTGTGCACATCTATGCTAAGATTTTTGTAGAACTTGTGATACCTACCATGAACATATATGAAGTGCGCTACTCAAAATAATTTTAGGCTTGGTGACTGGAAGACTGGTGTCTCTCTCATTTGAAGTTAACAAAATGATTGTTATTTGAAATAATAAAAAATACCATATGGTGAGATAATTGACGATAAACGATATTGATATGATGTTAATTGTTGGTGGATCTATTTGCTTCTGTTAGAGTTGTCCTGGACATGGCTTTCCTAAGAAAATGGGACATTATGATGTGTTCTGCTTTACCACTTATTCTTAATCACCTTACGAGATGTATGTGTTATGGATCTTGTTAATTGATTGTTTTAATTCTGTTCGAACGAGGTTTGATTTGACTGACATTTAAAAGTAATTTACTGTTTTGTAACTTATTCACTTTTTGCAATTCTCTGTGAACATGTGATTAGAAGATGAATTGATCTCTCTACTTTCTGAATATTTTTCGAATAATAATCACAAGAAGTTTTTCAGAGTGTCAGGCCATTGACACTACTATGTTTATGTGCCAGCATGCAGCTAGGTACCTTGCTAATCAGGAATGGGTAAAGAATGATTCTCTAAAGACAGTGGAAAATACTGCTGTAATACCCTTCTCTTGGATGTTAATTATTATCATCAAGTTAATTATTATGATCAAGTTATGTAGTATACATACACCACTCATTTCTAATAAAATATCTGTATCCTTCTATTAGATACCTATTATTATGCTCGTGGTGGAAGTACCCCAGGATGTTATCGCTTCATCAGCTCCTACGTTAAATTCGTTAAAAGAAGAGCCACAATGTACAACTGGTGAACATGGTAATGACAGTCATTCTGATACTGTCCAGTTAGAAGACCCGGCTTTGCTGAAAAGGTCTCAAACTAATTTTTATGCTTTGAAAGATTCCAAATCAGTTCGTGTTGACATCAGCTTTAAGTCACCATCACATACGGGGCTCCAAACTACAGGAATGGTAATTGCTCGTGACCATGGCTTTCAATTTTATATAATTTTTGGGTTGTCGTTCTTGTTGATATAGATTTATTTTCTGTTGCAATGATCTCTCCATCTTTTTATCAAAACGACACCGGCACATGCATGAACATACATACGAAGCTTCTAGGCTAATGCGTAGTATTTGTCTTTTTCCTAGTTCAAGAAGACTACATATTTTATTTGTTTGTTATAAATTTGAAATAAGTTTTATCTTTATTTGTTTGGACTTAATTGAATTTTCTTATTTCTTAAATTTATGTTTACATTCCAAGAGGAAACTTAGAGTTGGTCACCCTTGAAGCAGTCTGCTTGTTTTTTCTTCATTTATGAAAAGAAATATTAAACAAAACAGCCCAATGCCATATCTATACTTTGCATGACTTTTTATTGAACAATGCATGTTATGTTTCTGTCATACATCCTTGTCATGTTTCCCTATAATTCAGTTGCAGGCTCCCGTAATTAGTAAACATTTCCTGCGAATTGGGTTAGACTTGCAGAACACCATTACTTTATGGTGATTTTATCCACATCAGAAATTGGATTAACAACAGCAAAATCCAGTTTGTCCATTAGTTGGAACTGTTCAGACCCAACTGGCTGTTCCATAACTCTTAAGTGGAAGAGCCACAACTCTATTTAGATTTGATACTGTATTTGGTGGGATGTGGACTTAATACCCCTACTACACAAGTCTCTCTGCGAGGGTTAGTAGTTGCTCTGGCTTTGGGGTGCTAAATGTGGCCGCTGGCCAACACAAGTGTTGTGTCGTGACCTGTACTTCATTTTGCAAGTAAAATGCTTCTCCATTTCTGCATGACCCAGCTAGTGTGTTCCATCATTTTTGTGGATCCATCACTCCTTTAAGGGTATGAACCAAAGCCTCTCCCTCTACCGACCCCCACTTTTTATGATAGGCCTTATTCCACTCCATCACGTATCGCCTACTTCAATTTCTGTACATGGTTTGTTACTCTCTGCTGGTTGTTCTGGTCTGTTGCTGGCCATCTCTCCCACTGTTCTTTTGTCACATTTCTATGAGCTTTATTCTATATTTGCATAACTTATGTTCTTTTTTTGTGTGTATGGTGTTGTGTAATTTAAACTTTACCGCCCACTGTTTTTGTAGTCTTTTACGTCCTGTTTTTTTTAAAGACCTCTTTTTTTCCACTCTTCCTATTATTTTTTCTATCTTATCTGTTTTATATTTTGCACATAGCAGCCTAATCTTATTGACTTAACATTCATGCTTTCAATTTTGTCAAAAAAAACATCATGCCTTCAATTTTTTCTTTATCTTTTCTGCATAAAATGCGTGAACTACAGTTGACTTATTGATTATCACATAATATGTTTTTCTGGTTTGCGTACATCACAGTTTTAAGCTCTATCCTACTTACTTGTCATCTATGCCTGAAATTTTGGATTTTTTAAAAACATTTATGTGTGTAATAAGATAAATACAAATTACTTGTCTTGTATAAAAAAACTCCAGTTATTGGTATAGAAGTCAACCTGGTATCTACTATCTAGTGCATGGTTTTTATGATACTTCTGCCTGTAGGTTAAGGAGTTGACGGAGCAATTTCCTGCTGCTACTCCTCTTGCTTTGGTGCTAAAACAGTTTTTGGCAGATCGAAGCCTTGACCAGTCCTACTCTGGTGGCTTAAGTTCTTACTGTTTGGTATGTATTTTTTCCCTTTAAATAAAATTTTCGTCCCTTAATGAATTATCCAGATCTCCTTTATGCTGGAGTAACAAATTGCCGTGGCTAATGTAATGCCATTCTTTGTTACTTGATGTGTAACTAATTTGTAGTGTACACTAGTAATGATTTTATTTTCTCATTAGGACATGGTTACCCACAATATGTAGTTATAATTTATTCATATGATCGGCCTGCAAATGTATGGATTACAGTTTCATACTTGGTAGTCTAGTAATGAACAGGTGAAAAAATAACGGGTCATCAATTTCTTTTTCGACATCTGTGTTATATATGTGTTTGTCATTCTTAATGCCATGCCCTTTATCAATTGCTTTTGTCATCAGTTGTGTTTAACTTCTGGATGCCACTATGTTTCTCGAGAAGTATTCTTTCAGGATTTAAGGAGGCTACATGTATTATAATCTTTATTTTTATTTTGTATGTAGGTATTATTAATTATACGTTTTCTTCAGCATGAGCACCATCTTGGCCGGCCGATCAACCAAGTAAACTTTGAGCTTTTTATTTGTTCAAGTATATATCTGTTGATAGCCTCGTAGGACCAATAATATTTTCTGTAATTTTCTGTTTTTTACTTTCAAATTAAGGGTTTAGATTCAATGAACCAAGTTGAAAGGAACATCAATCTAGACTTTGTTATTTTTTAATCAATGACTATTTGGCATAAAAACACCCAAGCTGGGTTGTAAATTGTTGTAGTTCTTACTTTCTCTGTTCCTTTTTACTTACAGATCACTACTGCCACTGAATGAATTTTCTTCCATTTTCTTGCAGAATTACGGAAGTCTTCTGGTGGATTTTCTTTACTTTTTTGGGTGAGCGAGCTAATATGATTTTATATTTTATTGTTGCTATTGGACATTGCATAATCATGAAAGATTTTTTGTTAAGTATCATTACAATTATTTTTTCTTTTAGGAATGTGTTTGACCCCCGTCAAATGCGGATATCAGTGCAGGGAAGTGGACTTTATATAAAGAGAGAAAGAGGTTGTAGGTAATAGATAAATCAAACAATATGTGTACAGTGTGACATCCTTTTACTTGACTTTTCTCCAACTAATTGAAAATTGCCTTATTTGCAGCATTGATCCAATTCACATAGATGATCCTCTTTTTCCAACAAATAATGTGGGAAGGAATTGCTTCAGAATCCATCAATGTATTAAGGTAACAATGCAGACAATATTTACTAATTTTCCTTGGCTAAGCTCAGTGATAAAAAGAAACATGTGGTGTGAATTATCCTTTGGTAGTTATGCTAATATGTCTTGTGCTTAATGCTGAGAATGATAATGCCTAGCGGATTGTGGTATTATTATTTTCTGAAGTTAAGTTATATGAAATTTTCCAGTATAGTATCTGAGATGTTTGAGTGACAATTATAATTCCAATTCTAGTTATAACTGCAAAACTTGAATACCTGATTCATGGGTACTCATGAATTCCAGCAATAGAAAATAGCCTTTTGATTGACCATGTGGTATGTATCGGTTTATTATTTTGTTAAAGTAATCTTTTAAAGTTGTCGCAATATGTCTTGGTCTAATATGATAATCATTTCAAACCTGCAACATAATTAACAGTAAGTAATTAAGTTGGGGCTTTATTACTTCATTATTATGCATATAAAAGCTGAAGATTTAAGTGTAAAACTTTAATAAAAAAATTATACTATATATATTAACAATGACTGATTTATTTCATCTCATACTCCTCTGGTCATTATTATAAGCCAAATTGACTTTTTTGTTTCATTGAAAAACTAACGTAACCGGTTTTTATATATATATATTCACATATATATATTCACATATATATATATATATATATATATATATATATATACATATATATATTCACATATATATATTCACATATATATATATATATATATTATATATATATATATATATATATATATATATTCACATATATATATTCACATATATATATATATATTATATATATATATATTCACATATATATATATATTCACATATATATATATATATATATATATATATATATATATATATATATATATATATATATATATATTCACATATATATATATATATATTCACATATATATATATATATATATATTCACAATATATATATATATATATATATTCACATATATATATATATATATATATATATATATATATATATATATATATATATATATATATATATATATATATATATTATATATATATATATTATATATATATATATATATATTCACATATATATATATATTCACATATATATATATATATTCACATATATATATATATCACATATATATATATATTCACATATATATATATATATATTCACATGCTAAATATTTTTCGTAAATTGGTAACAAACTTGATTCTTGGAGTTATTTATGCTTGTATAGTTGTACTGATTGCCAATTCATCTTATTTCTACACCATGTATATCTTAAGATTTATGCCTTAATGAATTTGATTTTTACTGGTAGTGCAGCTCATAAATTATAACAATGATGCAGGCATTTTCAGAAGCTTATATTGTTCTTGAAAATGAACTCACGCTCCTAAATAGTGATGGCGAGTCATGCTCTAAGCCATCTTACAGACTGCTTCCAAAAATCATCCCAAGTCTTGATGTATCATAGTGATTTTTGTTACATGAAGACTGAATAATTGTCTGAAAGGTACATTCATGTCACCAATAACTTGTGACTATCATCATGATATTTCAACTTTGACTTTGGTTCATTTCTCATAATAATAAATGTTTAATTTAGAGTTATTTAGAAATTAAATAACTGGACTAGAGGTGTATGCCAGTCTGTCACTTTTTTTAATTTGAAATTGAGGATACTGGTTTTTCGCTGAGGATATAGCCTGATGTTACAATATACATTAACCCACATTTTGACATCCTTAACTGTTGTAAGACAATATTTGAAATTCTGAGTGCATCAATAAAAACAGCTGTCTTAATCATGCACATAGCGCTTCTATCATGCTTGTTGCTGCTATATGGAAGCATACTTAGAAAAATGAAATTCAAGCTAAATCAAATTATTGCTGAAATCAGAGTGTGTTATTATGAAATGGTTTGATCTTCTTTGTCTCCAGATGGAATGTCCATGACTTATTATGATGTTTATCCTATGTTGTACATTGTGATATACGGGTATATATGATGATGATATATTACAAATTGTTGCAGTTGATATGTTTGTTGTCTCACACGATTTGAGTCTACATATACTTTGAATTGGAAAATTTATTGATTCCCATGAGTCCACATCTTTCAAGATTTATTGATTTTTATTTATATACATACATTCTGTCAAATAAACATATTCAGTTTTCTGTTGGGCAGGTTCTTGGGTTTGTGCAAAGTTATGCAAGCCAAGATATTGGGCTGTTACTCTAGTGATGCAGAGTATACATGGAATGATGGAAACTTAATCACTATCTGAAGGCGCACTCCATGCAGTGAGTGGGTCAAAAGTTAAACAATGCAAATATTTGTGAGTTGATCTCCAGGCACTGCTAAGATGATCACAAGTTTTTTCATTGTACTTGGTGCCAAGAACTAGCTTAGGACTTTATCATTCTGGTATTGTGAAGTCCTAAGCTAGTTAGGACTTTAAACTTGTTACTACTTGATCACTGGTTTTCTGCCCTCTGCTGGTGAGCTCTTTAATTCCGAGTGAATTGCATCAGTGGAGTTTTTCAGAACATAAGATATATTGCTGATGCCACCTCAACTGTTGCATACTTCTTGTTTTGTAAGTTGGAAGCAGTTTCTGTGTCATTTACTAATTAATTTTTTATCTTTAGTTTCTTTTAAACATTTCTTCTCAGTTGATGAGAAGAGCAAAGATGGTAATCTATGGGAGTATTCTTTGGACAAATAAATACAATGTCTGGCAGCTGTTTCTTTGTCCCTTGAACTACACGAGCTCGTTAGTTTTTGGTTTGATCTCCAATGTTGTAGTTTAATAATTTTGTTTCCTCATGTAAACATCCAAAATGAAATCTGCTTCCAACATCTAAGTTCTTTTGTATTTATATAATTTCAGTTTTGAAGAGCGACACATGGAAGGAAGCCATTTTAGTCAGACAAGGACAAAGAATCAAGCCATTTTAAGTGTGTTTGGATGGACGGTGAATTTGGTAAAATCACTGTTGCACGGTGATATTTGCCAAAATGGCGATGGCTCGTCATGATAATCAAGCGCTACCATTGAGAGCCGAAGTTTCGTGGCTGCACTCTACAAGCGGTACCTTTGAGAGCCGAAGTTTTGTGGCTGCACTCTACAAGGCTTCACATTTTTCAAGTCCGCTCTGTGTGTAGCCCGTTTTGAGATGCTGATAATCAACTCCGATACCATATGATAAACCTCCAAACACTTTGGATTCCTTTCAAGGGGGAAGAATCAAACTTAAATATACTCTATCAAGTGCCCTTCTACACGATGTTGGACTTAGGCACCTCATAATACTCAAATCCCAATCATCTTATTGCATGTTTTTCTCTAGATATTCTATCTTCCTTTTTGTAATTATTTTCACATCAAAATAAGCTCTTTGAACACGTCAAAACATAACATTTGTTGTCAACTTTGTTTTCCACTTTAACTAAATTTCGCCATTTCTTAGTTCATTGTGAAATTAAGATTAGTTGCTGCCTTTCAACTCATTGGATAAAGGATCTTATTATGGTCTCAAACTTATTTATGAAAATGGCATGATCCCATTTCTTTTGCTGGTTGATCAAATTGTGACGTCAATGCTGGCAAGGGGATTACATGTTCTACATGATCCTCCCTAAACTTCAAACGGGTGTTAAGATTTTTGCACTGAATGTCTATTTCTTTTATTTGACACCTGTGCTGAAAAACCATGTCATTTATTCAGGTTGTTATTGATTTTTTTGGTTTGGTTTTCGTCGATGTATTTTACTAATGACTATAAAAATAAAGTGAAAATGAGTGGATATCGATATATTTTACTAATGACTAAAAAAGTAAGTGAAAAGAAGTGGATGTTTTAATGGTTGTAATATTATTAGTAAGAACATATTCGTTGAAAATATTCTCTCTTTTCATTTAAACTAATACGAAGATGCGAGATTTTTGCAAGGGACCATTGTGATTGATGATGAAAGATGTAATGTTAACTAGAGATGATATGATGCATCTCTGAAAATAATTAACATAATTTTCCGGCATTTTTATTGTTTAAAAAAGAACTACACAATGGTTCACTTTTAGAGTTTAGTATATATCTTTAGCAACTAAGTTTAACCCAATTTAGATAATAGATAAATAAATGTTTTCATAAAGTAATTGGAGTATTCAATTTCAAACTATCTCGATCTGTAGTTTGTCATCTCTAGTATACGTTATAATTCTCTTAGACTCAATTTGCGAGTCAGTTTGGATGAGAGACAATCGAAGGGTTAAGGAAGCAGAGGAGCAAAAGGAAGTTTTCACTATTTTTTTACGAAACTGTTTGGGTAGAGAATAATGAATAATTGTTATCAATAATATATTTTTAATAAATATAAATAATGAATTTCTAGATTTATTCAAAGGTCTATCATTTAATAATAGGTAAATGTCTATGATTTATTCAAAGGTTGATTTTTATAGCGAGATTACAATTAATTCTCATTGAATTAAGGAGAAAAAAAATAAGAAGACATAATAGAATTCTCTAGAATTGTCTAAAAAATAATAAAATAGGAAAATAAATAGTGATGTATTTTCCAACACTTCCTTCAAATTGATGCATAGATATCTATTATATTCAACTTGTCTAACAAATGTTTACAGGTAGGTCTTGTCAAACTTTGGATTAGGATATTTGCAGTTTGCCGATTCAATGCCACAAAAGATAGATATATAAAGGTAGATATATGATTTCACCATCTAGCTTCTCCTTTGTTAAATATCGGTCAATCTCAATTTGCTTGGTTATGTCATGTTGAACTGAATTATGAGCTATGCTAGTAGTAACTTTACTGTCAGAGTATAATTTTAATGGAAGCTCAATTTTCATCTTAAGTTCTTCCAAAACTCTATGGATCTATAGTCCTTCACAAATACTCGAGCCATAGCTCTAAACCTGACTTTTGCATTACTTCTTACTACAACTCTTTGTTCTTGCTCCTCCATATCCCAAGATTACTTCAAACATTGGTACAATATTTAGAGGTTGAACTTCTATTTGTGAATGAATCTGTCCAATCAACATTAGTGAAGATATATACACATATCTTTCATTAGTCTTCTTAAAAAGTAAGTTTTTTTTCGAAATTTTTCCTCAAGTATCTCAGTATCCTATAGATTGCCTCAGATGTTCCTAGAAAAGAGAACGCGTAAACTGATTTACTATACTAACTGAGTAAACAATCTCAGGTTGGATGTGTGGCAAATAAATCTGTTTTTCAATCAATCTCTTGTCATTTCAACGGTATCATCTTCAAAATAAGGATAATATCATCAACATAAACAATCGGCGCAATAAATTTTTCATCGTGGAAGAACTTTGTGAACAAGGTGTGGTCAACATGTCTTTGAATATAGCCTTGTTTCTTCATGGACAATGAATTTTTCAAACCAAGCTCTAGGGAACTACTTTAATTCTTACGAAAATTTCTTTGATTTGCATACATTTGATCCAAATTTGTTTTCAAAGTCAGGAGAAATATCCATATATACTTCTTCTTTTAGAGCACCATTGATAAAGGTATTCTTAACATCCAACTGATGCAGGGGCCAATCATGATTATCAGCAAGAGATAAGAGAATTGTGATAGTGTTCAATTTTTGCAACAGGAGAAAATGTCTCTGAGTAGTATATACAATAATTCCGAGTAAACTCCTTAGCCACCAAGTGATCCTTGCACCTTTTAATTGACCCATATGATTTATACTTCACATTAGGACTATAAATGAGTCTAGTTGAGTCAAACTTGCCTCAACTCGAATCTTAGTTCAAATTCGATACAAATTTTTTGTAAACTGAAACTCGACTCATTATAAGTTCACGAGCAACTCAATTTGACTCGTTAGGTTCAACTCCTTTGCTTCACAGACTTAAAGAGCCGTTTTTTAAAGTCTATTTTTTTATATATTTGAAATTTGAAATTAATATTATTTTAAAAAGAAAATATTGAAATAAAATAAAATTTATCAGATTGGAATTTAACTTTGTCTCAAAAATCTACTAATTCAAAAACTATATAATTTATATGATGTTGATTTTATTTGTATAATTATTTTTAGAAATATTTTATTCACTTGAGAATATAAATTATTAATTAAAACCGTTAGATTAAAATAAAATATAGAGCTAAGATTTAGAGTAAATCTACAAACCTACTTTTAAAGATAATATAATCTTTCTCATATATAATCAAATTTACTCATATGTACCTAACAAGTTGAACTATGTATAGTTCAAGTTCAGCTTATTTAGTGAACGAACTTACTTTTTTGCTCATATTCAGCCCATTTAGTTCGTGAACCTAGATCAACAATTTAATTGTTGAACTGAGTTTCAGATTATTTTCAAGTTGGTGCAATTCATTGCGAATACTACTTCACAATAAACACCCATTTTCATCCAACTGTCTTCTTGCTATCTAATAGTGTCGTAACACTCCAAGTTTTGTTCTTTTCACGAGCTTTCATCTTTTGATGTATAACTTCCTTCCACTTTGGAATTTCTACAACAATCTACACAATTTTTGGAATTTCTACACTAGACAATTTTAAGGTGAAGGCAGACACGAGATGAAGACAAATTTAAATATGATATAAAATTGGACATATGGTGTTTAGTGCAAGATCTAACATGTTTTCTAATAGAAACAAGATCAACTATATCAAGATACAAAATATGACCCTCAGAAACAAAGATAGACTTATTTCCTTTCCTTAGTAGGTAAGTTTACATTTCTAACAATGTTGAGATGTGGACTCATTCCTTTCTTTATGGTGCTTTTTCACATAAACTTTTCCTTTCCAAGTCATGTTTCATTATTTTCAAGATTCTCATTATTTTCTACATGAGATGATGTAGGCTCGAATTTTTTAAGTTCCTTACTTATAACAGGAGTAAGATCAGATAAATAATCATGACCATTTTCTATTGGCGTAGAAGTATAAGTCTTAGAACTTTATGGTACATGCAAAGATAAATTATTTAAAAAACTCATGTTCTCAGTTTGAAACGAGTCTTCCTTTATACCCCCTTGAAGATGAGTGTCATAAAAAATTTATTTTCAAAGAATGTAACATCCATAGAGACAAATATTTTCGTGTTTTTTGGATCAAAATATTTATATCTCTTTTGGATTGAGGAGTATTAAACAAAAACACATTTTATAGCAGGTGGTTCAAGTTTTCCTACATTTTTATATTCATGAACAAAGATTGTGCAACCAAAAAATTTTATTGTCAAAGCAATTAAAATACGAGTACTAGAAAAATTTTCTTTGAAAGTATTAATTAGAGTTTGAAAATTGAGAACTTTGGAGGATATTTTATTAATTAAATATGAAACTTTTAAAATAGCTTCGCCCTACAAATAGTTTGATACTTTACTTGAGAAAAGTAAATCCTTAACAACCTCTAATAAATGTCTATTTTTTATTTCGATAACTCCATTTTGTTGAGGTGTATTTGGACATTAACTTTGATGTACAATCCAATTTTTAAGAAAAAAAATCATCCAAAATAATATTAAAATATTCTTTGCCATTATCACTTCTAAAGACTTGAATATTTGTTTGAAATTGATTATGTATCATTGTAACAAAATTCTTTACAGTCTGACAGACATATGATTTTCCCTTTAGCAAGTACACCCAAGATACTCTTAAATGGTCATCTATAAATATGATAAACCATTTTTTTAAGAGAAAGTGTACTTGTACGGTTAAGACCCCAAACATTGTAAACAAAGAAGTGTGCCTAGGGGGGGGGGGGGGGGGGGGTGTTGAATTAGGTATATAAAAATTTCTGGTTTTTAAAGATGTGTTTCTTTCTTTTCTGATTAGGTTATGTGATGAAAGCGATAAAATGAAGAAAGTAAAGAACACCAAAAGTTTATACTAGTTTCTCTCACAGTCCAAGAGTACGTCTAATCCCCTTACCACATGTAATATATTTTATTACTGTTAGATCTTATGGCCAAGACACTCCTAGTCTTCCTAT